CAGAAGGCATCCAGGTGAGCCACCCGAGTAGGTAGGGTGGCCCGACCGCAACGAGGGCCTTACGAGTTCGGGTGGGGGAGAATGTTACAAGGGGAGACTTTTCTCACATTATATCCGGATGGAAAATGAAATGGGTATAAATGGGTGGGTATGCATCACTACCCAATAGTTTAATCTTTTAGATAAATAGGCAAGCGCCTACCCAAGAGCTTAAGCTTATGCAACACTACGCAATATCTTAAGCTCTTGGGTAAATGGGCAACTAAGAAATTTTTTTTAACTAATCTATATATTGTTAGAAATGTTGTGATGTAGGACACAAGAGCAGCCTTAAATAGATAAAGTTGTACAGAATTTAAAGGCTGAAAGTTCAAAGAACTAGGGAAATTTGGATATTTGATAGTAAAAATGTAGAAAATCAAAGGGAAAAGAAATAGAATAGAGCTACGTATTGGAATCACTCCAACAGGGCCTAGGTATCACACCTAGAGAAGGCCTTACACCTTCAGAACTTGTGAGTCACTCACAAAGAAATCTCAAAGATATTTTTCATTCATTCTTTCACTGCCTCACCAAGTTTACATTATACCCTTCTTATAGCAACTTATAACCCCGAAATTACCCATTAATTGAGGTAATCAAAAGTTGACTCTATAGCATAATACTTATAAAAGTAATCACCCCGTAATTGAGATAATCAATATTTGACTCTAGGATTACTCTATAATTGAGGTAATCAATATTTGACTCTAGCATATTAAAAGTAATTAGTACTGACTGATGCAATTTGATCGTAATTGATGCAAGCTACCATAATTATGTAATTTGACCAAATCCCCCAAATTATGCAAAACTCCATGTGGACCCCTATCATCTAGCATGTGCCAAATTAAGGCTTGAGCCTTGTAACATTCCTTTTTGCGCCTTTTGTATATCCTTAAAGATATTTGCCATTGATCTCTATCATGTTGTCACAATGGAAATTGTTAAAAGAAAAAAAGTTCTTTTATATATAAGATGTAGATAATAAATGATAGGAGAGTTGAAGTTTTTCTAAATTGGGTCAAAATTCTCTAGTTGGATGGATTCGGGTTGATCCGAATTCAGATTATCAAGTCAGATATTGTGGATGGGCATGACTGTCCAACACCGGCAGCATTTCTCTAAAATGTACGTGGATTGGCGCAGTTGCAGGTTGATCCATCTGTTTAATGTCTGACCCATTTATTACCCATTGTAGCGGGTTGATAATGGGTTATTGACCCGTTTATGACCCATTCAAGTTGATAATGGTTTATTGACCCATTCAAAACCCACCCATTTGCCACCTCTAGTTTTCTAATTACTCATTGTCATATGTTGGTCGGAGAAAGTTGCATCAATGCAACATTAACAGCCATAAATATTACGGGATAAGTTTACTAAAATTGTATGATCTTGAATAGAAAGAGAAGTAAAACATGATTTTTTGAACAGAGTTCCTTTTAGAAAATTAAAAAGAAAAAGAAAGAAATGATTGCTTGAAGAAAGGAAAACCTTTTGTACTCTCTCCCTTTGATTGGGACTGGTTTCTCCCCATTTTTAGGGTCTAGATTTTTTATTATATATATATATATATATATATATATGTGTGTGTGTGTGTGTGTGTGTGTGTATATAAAATCCAATCCTTCTAGCTCAGTTAAGAAGGAAGGTCGCCTTTGCCTATTATTTTAATTAGCTACTTGCCAAAGGTTGCAGCTTAATCTATTAAGGTGCAAAATTATGCTTATACTTGGTTGGCCTTTGACAAGTTATTAATGGAAGCACTCGGAAAACCTATCCAAAACTTGCAGGCTGAGTACTAGACTAAAAAGGGGTTTATCTGGATATGAGCAAAAACCTTTTTTCCTATAATTCTAAATCTCTTCCTCCCTTAAAGCGTCATTTAAACAGCTGTATCTTTAAGTAGTAATCCAAATAAAATAGCTAGTGATTTTCTGTAAATCCAGGCATTTGAATGCCCTTCAAAACCTAGTTTGTGTACGTATATATGTGTGCGTGTATATATATATATATATTATACAGGTTTGTTCAAACAGTTTTCTTGTCTGTCAACAATTCTAACCTTCACAAACTGTAAAATCATAAGTTTCTATAAAAACTTTTCCATGAATATAGTGGTGGTAATTCAACGTTTCAGCATTTTTTTTTTTTTGATAACTAAAATGTATTAGAAAGCGTTCAAGAGGGGTACGCATCCCAAGATAAATACAAAAAACCAAAGAAAAAACAAAAACAAAACATAGAGCCCTATGGACCCAAAGAACCCAAAAAGTCCACTATCTCATCTAGGGATATACAATTTCTTCCCATTACCCAGCAAAAAAGGGAACTAATAGTAGAAAATTTCAGCGTCCCCAATGGGGGTTTCCTCCTCAAAAGATCTTTTGTTACACTCTTTCCAAATGCTCCACCAAACACAAAGGGGAATCACCCTCCAACAATCACAAGTATGAGCCCCCACCCTTTGGCCCCTCCAAATATCAATCAACTCCCTTGAAGACCGAGGCATAACCCAATGAATACCAAACAAACCAAAAATAAGTCTCTAGCAATCGTAAGCCATAGGACAATGCAAAAGAAGGTAATCCACAGACTCTCCATCCTTCTTACACATACAACACCAGTTGACTATGATATGTCTTTCCTTTTTCAAATTGTCTAGAGTTAAAATTTTACGCAAAGCTGTAATCCAAACAAAAAATGCCACCTTGAGAGGAGCCTTTGAACGCCAAACCGTCTTCCACGGGAAGCTAGTACCCTGAAAACCAGCGAGGCAAAGAAAAAAAGAGCGAACATCAAACCTCCCCTGAGGAGAAGGCTTTTCAAACCAAGGAATCAAGCCCTCTACCATCCGCATCTTGTCTATACAAAAGATCCAATAGGCCAAGGACATCCTCAAGTTCTCAATCCTGGAAAGATTGCCGAAAACGCACTTCCCACATAAGCCTACCGCTATCAAGCCAATAACAGTCAGCTACCATAGCATGTCTATCCGCAGCAATGCTAAAAAGTCTTGGAAACAACCGGGACAGGGGGACATCCCCACACCAACAATCCTCCCAGAGCCTAACATCCCTGCCTTCCCGAACTTTAAGTCTAATATGCTTAGACAGCTCATCCCAACCCTTACGAATATCTTTCCACACTCCCACGCCGGCAACAGATCTCACCGGCCTGGAAGACCATACCCCTCTCCTCCCCAAAGCGGCATGCTATAACCCTCCTCCATAAGCAATGTCTCTCACTACCAAATCTCCATAACCACTTCCCAAGAAGAGCCCTATTAAAGGGGTGCCCCACTCCCCCCCCCCCCCCCCCCCCCCCCCCCAAAAAAAAAAAAATTGAAAGGGCCTGCAAACATGCTCCCACCTGACAAGATGATACTTGAACTCATCACCCCTTCCACCCCAAAGAAAAGATTCTCCAATCTATCAGCAACAGGTTTACAATGCCAAAGGGTATCACATCTCCCCCACTCCTCCTCCTCCCTATTCTTTTCCTTATTTCAACAATGGAAGAAGACGTCGTTTTGTCACTTTTGTGTCTAATTTTCCTTCACATGATCAAGATTTTGCAGCCAATTTGTGGTTGAGCTCTGATGTTTCAGTAAAAAACACTAGGAGGGGATGAGCTCGTAATAGTTGACTGATTATTTACAGTATTTTCATATTTTAATGATATTAGAACTTTGGTGCATCATTATATTTTAGGTCATTATCTAGTGTATGTTCCGTCCATACAGGGTGTTGGGGGAGGCAATTTGGAGCCAGACCTAAATATTGGTTAATTTATAGACAGGAGACAGATCAGTATTATAACTTTGTTTCATTGTTTTATATAGGTTGGCATAGACTATTGGTTCTAGATACCAAAGGTTTCTTCTCTCTCTTTTTTTTTCTTTCTTTCTTTTTTTATTTTTCAGTGCAAATAGTTCCATAGGTAATGTGCTTCTTTAAATTCCTTTTCTTCTTTTACCTTTTTGTTTTTGGTTTATGGGATTAGACTCAGTTTAGTGAGTCTGCTTCCTGTAAAATCTGCCAAGCACTCTTTTGCACACTCTGATGTTGAAGCCCTTTATTGTCCATTAGTTCTAAATGACTTCAACACCATAGGATTCTTGAGAAGGGAGTAAAAAAGGGATTGCCACTATGTGTTTCTTAGCATTTTTCGGCTCTGAGATGCTACAAACTTCATATGCATTCCATTGTTCATTATGCAGCTTTGCTAGAAACTTAGCTAGACTTGCAATATTTCTAGCTCAGTGGACCAAGAAGCATAAATTTTTTTCGATCTTGCTGTCCTAATCTCTATTTCTGTTGGAATGAAAGAAATTGACTCATATATTGTAACTGAAGGATTTAATTTTAGGAAGAATAAATGTATATGGTATACATCCTTTTGGGATTGATCTAGAATTCAATTTCAAGGTAGATGTAATATTAAGGAAATTGGATAACCATGGTGTCCTACCTGGATAGAAACATTATTAGGTTTGCATTCCTTCTTTTGGAGTCTGACCTAGCTACAATAAAATGAACATTCTTTTGAAATTTAGGTCTATACACCTTGAAGGACTGAAAGTTACTCTAGGGCTGTGTCCCTTTTTACCCTTTTAATCTGAGCCTCTCTTTTGGAGAAATATTATTTCATTAAAGCTGAACTGCTATCTTTTGGGGAACTGGGAATTTTGATGCTAAAGGGGACTCAGGCAGATGTGAATAATTTGTCTCCAGATGCATTTATTTCTTCTTGGTCACAAAAATTTCTTCTTGTTAGAAATTTTATTTTATTTATTTTTTTAATGATTTCCTTTGTATTAGGATTTAGGACAAATTTGTGAAACGTAACATAAACAATGTGGCTATTCTTATCATTCTTCGTGTATAACTCATACTTGTTCTTGTTTCTGTTTTGCTTGCAACTAATAAAAATAGTGGTTTGTCTTCCTCTTGTAGGTAACATCACCATATGGAAACAATCTTCATCACAAAGAGAATACGACACACGGTCAATTTGCATTTACAACTACGGAGGCTGGCAACTACCTGGCATGTTTCTGGATGGATGGTCATAATCAAGCAGGTGGTGGTGTAAGTGTTAACCTTGACTGGAGAATTGGCATTGGAGCAAAGGATTGGGAATCAGTTGCAAGAAAAGAGAAAATTGAGGTGAGAGCTGAAAAATTATTTTCTTGCTTTTTTTATTTTTATTTTTTATTTTTCTTAAACCAGTTTTGTTTTTGGTTTCATCCTTCAAAATTGAGAAAAAAATGTTGACAGTTAGCAGCAATATAGACATTTAAGTGCAAAAAGTTCAACATCTAAAAGAGGATTTTGTCACAATAAATTTTATGTTTAGTAACAACTGTGCAACTTTTTTTAAACCTACTCCTAATTAACTTTATCCATTTGTTTCTATTACATAAGTTCCAGGCATAGTGCTAAAATAAATGTGATCAAAGGAACCTTCCTTTTATTGGGCAAATCAACCAAACCTATGAATAATAGTTTTTGAAACCTAAAACATTGCGAAACAGATCATGTAAACATTACCAAGTCATCATGAGAAAAATCGGAACATCTCTCTCTTTCTTTTTTCCTTTATCAGTAACCGTAATTGAGCAAAATCTGAACATTTTTTACTTAATTTTTACAATCCACAAGACAAGCAATAATATGTGGTGGGAAAAAGTGAAAACTGCACAATTTCTCCGAGCAATAATATACACAAAAAAGAAAAGAAAAGAAAAGAAAAGAAAAGAAATAGTCAGCAGGTGCATACTTAGAGCCTAAAACTTTGTTGTTTGTTGTTACTAGTATTCTTTGGTAGCTTTGTACTGCCCTTCAATAGATTTTTCCTTTGCCCCGTTCTTTTAGATAAGAATTAGCAAGAAAGGAAAATAAAAAAACATTTTAGGAGTTTGGATGGCAAGAAAAGAAATTTTTCGATGGAAAACAACTTTCCACTTACTCAAATTTTGCTTTTGCTTTTTTTGAGAAAGTTATGTGAATTTACAATTGTACCCTTTTTTATCTCTCTAAAATATACTGTTTATGCATTTAACCAAATGCATGCCAGAAAATTGATTTTTTTTCCCCCTTGGTTCACTTCACTTTCACTTTCCACTGTTAATTTTCATCTAACCAAATAGACCCTTATATACCTTGATTGTGCCTGTACAGGGTGTGGAGCTTGAGTTGAGAAAGCTTGAAGGAGCAGTGGAGGCCATCCATGAAAATCTACTGTATCTCAAAAGCAGGTAGTTTTTGTTGTTGTGCTCCTTTCATGCCATTATATTGTCATCAAATCAGCTTATCATTATTTCTATTACACTTCATTTTATTTTTAAATTTTTCTCGGGGATTTATATGTGCAGAGAATCGGAGATGAGGTCGATGAGTGAAGCAACAAATAGTAGAGTGGCATGGTTCAGTATTATGTCCTTGGGAGTCTGCATTGCCGTTTCAGTGCTGCAGGTATTGCACTTGAAGCAATTTTTCCAAAAGAAGAAGCTGATTTAGACTTTTTGCTGATCTAATTATGTATTCTGTGACAGGAAATTTTAGAACCAAATTTTTTTTTTTTTTCAATTATGGAGGAAAATTTTCATACCATTTTATGGAGTATCCAACTTTTTCTGTTTAAAATAACTATAAAAAGTTTAGTTTTCATCATTCCATCCACATAATCATTTGTGCTCATTGCTCATTTTTCTGTTTTTTCTCAAACACTTGCATAGAGTAATGCTATCAAATCAACTATATACATTGATTACTTGATTTAGACCATTTTTGAGATAGGTGAAAGGTCAAAATAAATCTTTTACAAAAGAATTGTGTTACACTTGACAACACCCGACTAGTTGGGTGTCTTCAAGTTTTTATTTTTATTTTTCTTCAATAAATCTCTCGATTAAAAGGTTAATAGTAAAGAGACTTTGACTCTTGTTGTGAGAAAGCTCTCTTGATGTTATTACGCCTATACTTGTGCATAATGCATTTCTTGAATGATGGTGGAAGCCCTAGCTGTGGTTGATACTCTATTATGTGTTGTCAACGCATTGGCCACCTTGTTGCCAGTTCTTCTTACACGAGGAAAATCTCTTAACCTCGGCTTGTCATCAAACGCCACTGGCTCAATCTCTATCGGCACTCCATCCTCCTGCAAAAACAAATCGCCTCCGCTGATATAGCAGAGGATGTCATGAATTGACCAAAAACCACCACCTTCAAGACATTGCCTAATAGTTCTCCTGCAAAATCTAATAGTTCTATACTACTGTTCAGGACAGTTCTAATAGTTCTATAGTCCTGCAAAATCTCATCTAATTCAACACTGTTGGTAAAAAAAAAAAAAAAAAAGTACTTATTTGCTCCATGAACGCATATCTTCAGCTGAACAATCTCCAAATTTGGCATGAGAACAACTAAAAAAAATCGACCAGGATAAGCCACAACAGCTTCAGAAGACACTACAAACCGAGCTGCTGACCACTAAAAGGTTTTGAAATAAGATGCAACAAAACTACAAATGCTATGTTTCGAAATCCATCTAGCACAAAACATTTTCCCATTAATCATCTTGTGCACCACAGGTAAAAATCGAAGACCTTAAAGGCGTGTTCAGTGAGCCAGAATAAACCATTTCAAAGTTCAATGCAATTGCAAGGTGGTTGCTAGTAAATGAAGACCAAAACACGGGTGGGATAAGACCGAAAGTTACAATAGCCTCCCCTGATTTACTGACACAACTAGACGAAAGATGAAGTGCCTTGTATCCTGCATCCTTATCTTCCCAGTTATGATATAAAACCAAAATCCATCAACAGTAGCAGAATGAACAGACCACGGCACGCCATACAATGACAATCTAACAGGAGAAGCATGAAGCAACAGACCTCTCAACGTAGAAATAGAAGCTTCCATGAGGATAAACCTTCTACTGAAGCATTTGTTTAAAACCAGGAAACTTGAATACCAGATGTTATGCATAAGGCAGCCATGACAACCATATGAGAGAACCACCATGCAGTTAACAGCTGCAAGACAATAAATTTTTTTATCCTACTATGCTGCCAGCAACTTAATGCACTATATGTCGATTCCCAATGGAACATGGTTCTTTACCCATCTCCTTCAACTCAAAACCCTTTTCCTCATCAATTCTGTGTTGCTTCCATCCATCCAGAACAGTATTTACCGAGCCACATACAACACAAAAATTCCATCTCAAGGCATTCTTTTTCAATGTCAAAAAGTGAATAGAAGACGCTTGGTAAAACTCCCAGAAATTGGAGCTTGCCATTGGCACCCAATTGAATACAGTCCCATCAACAGTACATGATTTAACAAATATTAAGCATCAACACATGGCAAAACCATAATCGATAGAAATTATTTTTTCAATTATTAAAAGAAAGGACCTACTTATCTTGGGCTTACCATGCCTGAAATGGACAAAGGTCATAACTGCAGCTTAGTTCCAAGATTTGGGGAAAAAAAATTTGCACACTTTGTTGTGATCTTGATTATTCCTTTTAGATCGAGGCCAAACATTATGCTAAATTAGACCTACTTTCGGATTCAAAGAAAAGAACGAAAGTCAAAGCGCAATGCAAGTCCACACACTGTATATAAGGGCTAAAGATATCAACAAAGATTTTAGCATGCACAACAAAAAAGTCATGCCAGAAAATGGCACTAAAAAAACAAGAAAAAAAGAAAAGCAAGCGAGTATGCACAAAATACATTTTCAAGGCATATCGAAGCCATGACAAACAAATAGGTGTCTTTCTCCATGCTAGCCCCTTCTATCATATTAAATCATTCTCATTAAGAAGAGAACATAATTCAGATCAAGTCTCACATGAGTTGAATATTAGCCACAAATGAACCCTTAGTCAAGCTAAGTACATCATCACTTTTAATGAAGTGTTAACTGCATCCCGTCTAATATACTAATGATATGAAAACATGTAGTGAAAGCAAATGAGAAAACCAGTAAGATCAACAAAACTGTAGCTAATACTCCACTAAGAGAACTAAATCCTAAGTATATAAGGGATAAAGATATCAGCAAAGATTTACCATGCACAACAAAAAAATCATGCCAGAAAATGGCACTAAAAAAAAAAAAGAAAAAAAGAAAAGTAACGGAGTATGCACAAAATACATTTTCAAGGCATATCAAAACCATGACAAACAAAATGGCTTTTTTATTTTTTTATTTTTTATTTTTAGAGTTCGTACTCACACACACTTGTCTCTTTTAAGACTTTAATCCCTGACCTCCTTTTAAAAAGTAAGAGACTGATACCCCTAGGTCATTGGCTCGTTGATAAACAAAATGGCTGGCATTCTCCAAACTAGCCACTTCTATCACGTTAAATCATTCTCATTAAGAAGATAACATAATTCAGATCAAGTCTCACATGAGTTGAATATTAGCCACAAATGAACCCTTAGTCAAGCCAAGTACATCATCACTTTTAATAAAGTGTTAACTGCATCCCTGTCTAATAAGCAAATGAGATAACCAATAAGATCAACAAAACTGTAGCTAATTCTCCACTAAGAGAACTAAATCCTACTCTTTACTTGTGGAGATTCAAGGACACAAAAACTTATACTGACCATGACCATTCAGAGTTGTCAATAAAATAAAACTTATAAGATAGGTATTTTGATGCAAGGCTGGTATTGACATTCACAGACATGTCATACAGGAACTACAAATAGAAAAACTGAAAGTGAGCATAAAAATAGTTCTGATAAGTGGGAAAATATATCTTGCGTGCTCCTTCTATCATCCTTCTTGCAACCCATTTGCTTTGTCAATTAAGACAAAGCTCTCTGTGTAAGTACTGACAGAAAATGATGCTGCATCATCTCCACGGATTCCGAGATACTTGAATGTTTGAGCCTTTATGTCAACTGAAATCATGTCTTCATCTTTTACCAAAATAACTTCACCATTCCTCCTCAACCCAATAACTCGAACTTCCTGAGCAAATCCTCCATGAAAATCAAGATTAAATTCTGACTATAAAGATTAATCAAATTGGTCCACGACTCCACAACACCGTATTCTTTCATCATCCAAACTGATGCTTTGTAATTGTAAGAATCATTCTGGAACACACAAAGTGAGTCTTGAAACACCGCAAGAGACAAGTTACGAGGTTGAGCTATACTTCTTTGTATATGACTTAGACTTGTCGGTAGCTCCATCTGAGTGAATACTTCAGTACCCAGATTGAATAACACAACGAAGTTGTGACAATTTCGGCCTACGACAACCCAATGGATAGCCCCATTGAGATAGGCATGAGATGGCTCACAATGGATACGAGGTACCGGACCAGAAACACTAATCCTTCTCCAGCCACCCTCTTTGAGAGAATAAATGTCAACCTCAGTGCCACCAGAAATATAAACAATTCTAACAACCTTATAGTCATTAGTTGTGGAATCGAATCCAAATCCAAGAACACGATAACAATCGAAGCCGTGTGAACGGCGTCAGTATATCATCAGTAACACATATCATGCCATTGCAAGAACCAAGCACGGTTAAATAGGGATAAAAGCTTGCGACTGGACGACTATCTAGATTCAAAGGGTACTCAGTGAGTGATTCATCATCCAGATGCAAGGAAAAATGTTCTTTTTTCTCACTTTTACTGTAGTGCTTAAGGAGAAGTAGGTGAGTGTTGTTGATGTTGTTCAAATGTGTTGAACGATTGAACCAAAAGGTAACAAAATTTTCACTACGGATCAGAGAACACCAAGATTTACATACGCACCTGATTCGAAAAAAAGTTCTCGCGGGTAGTCTAACCAGAATTTCCATCATCACTTCGTCCGGTATGTTGTCGACATTGTTAATCAACGATTCTAGGACTAGGTTTTTGAAAGCTACGCTTAAACCCTAGAAATAACGGCAAGAAGGTATTCTAGGGTTTTTGAAAGCTGCTATTAAATCCTGGAAATAAACCCAAGAATGAGAAAGCAGCTAGCGAAAGCAGGGAGTGTGATCCGAGGCTGCGAAGTTCCAAATAATATCTAAACAGAGAAAACCTAGAGTTTACCATTTTCCTTAACTTCTATTGTCCGGCGATTTTGGTGGGGTTCCCAGAATGCCTCTAAGAAATTACGTTGGGCGCAGTGGGATGATCTATGTATAAGCAACGATGATGGTGGTTTGGGCTTCCGTGATTTTGAAAGTTATAATATGGCACTTGTAGCTGAACATGGGTGGAACTTTCAAGTGCAAAAACAAGGGTTAGCTTTTCGGTTGTTCAAAGCTAAATATTTTAAGCATTGCTCTTTTTTACAAGCTTCCCTCAGGAATAATCCATCTTGGGCATGGCGAAGCATTTGGTTCACACAGCGTCTTTTGAAAGAAGGAACTCGTTGGATCGTTGGAAATGGTCAGTGTATTGATATATGGTTTGACAAATGGATTCCCAATTTTGCAGGTACGCTTCACAAGCCCTCATCCCCTGTCCCCAGAAAGTTTCTCAACTTGATCCTTCTTCAAACACTTGGAATATGCATGAGGTGGTTAAATGGCTCCCTCCTTCGGCTGTTAATTATATATCCCACTGTTATTTTAGTTTCTTCAATTTAGAAGATAAACAAATTTGGGCCCCGGATCCGAAAGGTATTTTTTC